ATATATATATATATATATATATATATATATATATATATATATATACATATGTACATATAGTTTTTTTGTATTTATTCTGTCAAGGAAAGGTAAATGAAATGAGATGAACGATATCTTTTGTCCTTAAATAAATAATTCGCATTCATGTGAAATGAATCTTACAACACCTGTGTATAGACATTTACTAAAAAAAAGAGAACAAAAAGGGCCTATGCGATATCGTATACATCGATTTTAGTAAAGCATTTGACAAATGATCAAATAAAATAATTGCTTTCTGAACTTTATCAATATGGTGTAAAGGTATTTTGCTTTCATAATTTTCTTGATGATTGAAAAGTTATCTTAAGGCCAACTCAGACAGCGTCGGCCGACGCAGTCCGACGCGATTTGTTGTCGCGTCGGGTCTGTGTGAGTTGAACGCAGACACGATGGTGTGCGTCGGGGGCAGTCGCGTAGTAGAATATTAAACGTGTTTAATATTTCTCAGGACGGCTTAAGACTGTCCCCGACGATAAATCGGGTCGGGCTGCGTCGGCCGACGCTGTCTGAGTTGGCCTTTAGTGGTCGATTTAACGTGAGTGACAGTTAAACCGCAACGTCAAACCCAGTCCTTTCTTGAGTGCCACGCGGTTCAGTATTTAGGGATTGATATTTAAAGCAAAAGGAGGTGTATAGTTTTATTAATGGAATCACAATTAGAACAAATTACTTGTATGTACGTAAGGACAACGTTCTAAAAATATATAAATATTCAATCAGAATCTCTTTAGAATAAATTTATCTGTTAAAGGTTATATATGCACTGCATTTGATTATAAAATGCATAAATTCGTGAGAGTAAACGGAAATTCAATAAAATGAACAATGCTTTTTCCAAATTAAGAACTAAGAACATTTTGAGGATTAAAAACAAACATTCCTTTTGTAAACAATGTATTATAAAATCTGAAATTAATTATATGATATTATAACGTTTTCTCTACTTGAAGAAATGACCGATGGGTCAAAAGACAATTTTAGTTATCTAGTCTATATTTGCTCCACAAAGATAGAGAGACAATATTCGACTCCGTTCGCTCCTTTTGCATTGTTACCTTACTGCTGCTTTGGCGATATTATTATAACACAACAATTATACAACAAACTACACTTTTGATGAAAACTGAATAGGCTTACATGCTTTTCTACGGTTTTAATGAATTGACAAAATACTATGCAATCAATTTGATAAGGAGAAACGCTCAAGGAAATTAATTTAATATGATTTAGTTAGAGATTTACAATTTTCACATTGTGATTTAGCACCTGGACATTCACATGAATAATATGTTTCGTTGTCTGTGCATTCCCATCCATTAAAGCAGGGAGAGCTTTCACTGCACGGATCCGATCCTGCAATATTTACAAATTGGTCAATTAATAATCTGAGATACACAATATTATCATCAAATTATTGATATGAATTCATATATTTACAAATAATTTTACTGTTTTTAATATGTTTATGTTTGTCAATTGGATTGGAGAGCTACTGAATAGTATTTTAGTATACTTTCTGTAATCATGTTTGACCAACACAGAAAGGTGTATTTTCTTGTATGTAATTGTAATCTGTCAAAATAAATTAAGTGAAATAAAAATTATTTTCTGGTCAAATATAATCCACACTAATAATATTTAAATTGTTTTAGTACATACTTAACTGGTGTAATACCAGAGACTTACAAACCGTGGTATAACCCTCTCAAGGGTTGTGGGGTGGGGGCATTGGTGAGAAAGTGATAGAGAGAGAGAAGGCCCATGCATTTCCGCAAAGTATTCGTTCACGATGTGTAAAAAGACTGCATCATAACTAATTTGAGACTATTAAACCATAGAATCAGCTTACATCTGGATTCTTGTATCGCAATCACCGTGCATTAGTTCGGCTTACAAGTTGCGTTTAATCATTTAGCCTCATATTATTGAAGTCACGTCATTAAAAACATAATAAAATCAACCGTTTACGAGTTAAAACTGGGATTTACACTGTTTCAGTTGCTTAGTTTTTCCTGTTTTTCTTTACTCTTTTGCGCGGACAACCGCCCAATAGGCTTACATCAATTACAATACAATAGCCTAGAGTACAATTATACTGCACTAGGTAATCATAACAATTTTGCACTCAACCATTTTCTAATAAAAGTTTGGTTTTAAAGTAAAAAGAGAGAGAGATAGTGTTGTGGCTCATGCATTTCTGTGAAGTTTTAGTTCACGATGTATAAAAAGATCTGCATTATAATTAATTGTGAGACTATTAAACCATAAAATCAGCTTACATCGGGATTCGTGCATCGCAATCACGATGTTACGTTTAATCATTTAGCCTTTTATTGATGTCACGTCGTTAAAAACAAAACAAAATCAACCGTTTTGAGATAAAACCGGGATTTACACTGTTTCAGTTGCTTAGTTTTTGGTGTTTTTCATTACTCTTTTGTGCGGACAACCACCACTTTTTTCATCAATACATCAATTACATTACAATAATATAATAGCCTAGCGTACAATTATACTGCATTAGGTTATCATATAAATGTTGCACTCAACAATTTTCTAATAAAATTTTAGTTTCAAAGTAAAAACACAGGCCTATATTTATTTACAATTAATGCAAAAGAGGATTTATAGGCCTACATTTATAATCAGTTATAACAATAATTGTATAACAATTGATATTATTTCTAGTTATATATTTGTGTATTTTTACTTCATCAATCTCTGTAGTTGATTTCTTTATTAGTAGAAGGGGTGAGGGATCCGGGCCCCTGCGAACTAAGGACGGACATGGGCGCGCCTCCACTCATTGGAGAGCTCATAGGCGTTACGACGCAGTATAAAACCTGTCTCTTATACACATCTAGATGTGTATAAGAGACAGTTCTGATCCAGTGCTACATTCACATGAATAAGAATATGTTTCGCTGCCTATGCAATCCCATCCATTAAGGCACGAAGAGCTTTTCATGCACAGATCCCGTCCTACAATATTTACAAAATTGGTCAATTAATAATCCATGACAAACGATTATCATAAAATTATTGATTGAATTCGTATATTTACGAATAATTATACTGTTTTTAATATGGCTTATGTTTGTCAATTGGCTTACAGAGCTACCGGATAGAATTTTAGTATTTTTTAATCATGTTTGGCCAATTCAGAAACTTGTATTTTCTTTTATGTAATTATAATTTGTCACAAAAAAATAAATGAAATGAAAAATACTTTCTGGTCAAAGATAATCCACACAAAATAATATTTATATTATTTTAGTACATACGGTAATTAATTGGTGTAATACTAGAGACTTACAAACCGTTGCATAACCCAGTCGAGGGTGGGTGGGGGTAATCATGAATGAGAGAGAGATAGTGTTGTGGCTCATGCATTTCTGTGAAGTTTTAGTTCACGATGTATAAAAAGATCTGCATTATAATTAATTGTGAGACTATTAAACCATAAAATCAGCTTACATCGGGATTCGTGCATCGCAATCACGATGTTACGTTTAATCATTTAGCCTTTTATTGATGTCACGTCGTTAAAAACAAAACAAAATCAACCGTTTTGAGATAAAACCGGGATTTACACTGTTTCAGTTGCTTAGTTTTTGGTGTTTTTCATTACTCTTTTGTGCGGACAACCACCACTTTTTTCATCAATACATCAATTACATTACAATAATATAATAGCCTAGCGTACAATTATACTGCATTAGGTTATCATATAAATGTTGCACTCAACAATTTTCTAATAAAATTTTAGTTTCAAAGTAAAAACACAGGCCTATATTTATTTACAATTAATGCAAAAGAGGATTTATAGGCCTACATTTATAATCAGTTATAACAATAATTGTATAACAATTGATATTATTTCTAGTTATATATTTGTGTATTTTTACTTCATCAATCTCTGTAGTTGATTTCTTTATTAGTAGAAGGGGTGAGGGATCCGGGCCCCTGCGAACTAAGGACGGACATGGGCGCGCCTCCACTCATTGGAGAGCTCATAGGCGTTACGACGCAGTATAAAACTCAACTAGGAATTAAAATCATATGTTCGATTCTTTCACATCAATGATGTTGTCAACGAATTGTTTGTTTCAATTTATTTTTTATATTTAATTTTATATTATTATTTTCCTATTATTCTGTATTTAAATTGTAGTAATTCGTTCTAAAATTAAATTTATCGCATAGCTTAGAAACCCAGTAATTTAATGGGGGTGTAATATCAATCAACAGAAGGCATATTATTTGATGACATGTGCGGAATCACAAATAATAATTACAGTCTTTAATGCTCACAGGGATAAAGCAAGAAAAATGTTAATCTTCTATCAAGATCTGTTTACAAATTTACTTATACTTTTGTAAAATATTAATTTTGTATCACTAAAACCATTAAAGAATACAAAAACATGTTAAAAATGATAAAGAAATATTAAGTAGGCCTCCTTTGAATATAAAATGGATAAATTCATAAAGCGTTTCGTACTATATTTTTTTCTTAAGTAAGAACAAACAGAATAAAACAAACAATCATTTTGTAAACACTGTATTATAAAAGCTGAAATTAATTGCATGATGTAGGCCTATATGATACAAAGTTTTCTCCGATTTAAAGGAATGACCATCGATTGATCAAATTACAATTTTAGCTGTCCATGTCTGTTCCAACGAGGATCCTAGTCTTCTACTCTGTTTGCTCTTTTGCACTGTGATTGATTAGTTTTACTATATTGTACATTTAAAAGAAAAAAAAAACATTGGAATCCACTCACTATTTTAACAGCCACGGATAGGCCTCTTCCTAAGATAAACGTCGTACAATATTAATTACAAATAACAAGATTGTAAACCAATTAATATGGTAATCCTGAGCCGCTGACGTATTGGGACGTTACGACCATCAAGCTCACGAAATGCCATTGAGAAAATAAATAAATAAAAAAAAAAACTCTTACCTAATTCACACTGATGATTCGCATTGTTCTTTTGAAAATAGATGTTTTCATAGGGCTCATTTAATCTGATGGTTAAGTTGCCGGTTGTTTTATTGAAGAACGTGCCATTGCCAATACCTTCCGTCATGAACTCCATATGTATGTGTATATCAACGTTATCACAGTGATGAGTATTACCAGACTCCACTACTACCTCTATTTTATGATTTTGGGTGTTTTGTATAAGTATTGTATCTGTAGTATCATTAAATGGACAACCATCTTGTGTACTGTTCAGCAGGGCTATTAATCTGACTTCATTAATTGATGAGAAACAAACGATTGTTTTCAGTCTCATGGAATTATGAAGCACAAAGTCAATGTTGGTGGTGTTCATCAAAGGCACCTCATAATAGTAATCATCTGAAAAAGAAAAAAAAAATGTTGGCAAAATAAACGATTTTTATATATTTTTGCATAAAAGTAGGTGGAGCAGTATATATATAGCTCAGAAACTGTAAATAGAATATATGTATACCTACCACCCGGTAAAGCCAGCACAGAATGCTGTCGAAAGCTTATGTATAAATTTTAAAAAATGTACTGTATCAGTGTTTTGTTTTACATATAATTATTTTCAAACCTATAGCAGTGATGCTGCAAAATTTGAATAGGTTTCTGGCTAAATGCAGGTCTTAGCTCGATGAAATCTAAGCGATTACAATAAAGTAAACTATATATACTGTCTCTTATACACATCTAGATATATATATATATATAGACACGATTACATAATGAGAGAATGGCCAAGCTGTTAAGGCAGGGGCGCAACCAACCTACAGCAATATTATCAGCACTGGTTCAAATGGCACGCTCGCATTATGGTTCTGGAGATGGAAGAAATCTAAACCGTAGGCCCAGTGATCACAATTTGCTCATGTGCACTAAAAAGAACCCAGTACATCATTCGAGACGAGTAGAGGGTTACCCTGGTGTACTGGTCCGTACAGCCCCTGCTGTGGGCAGGCTAAAGTAGCTGGTACCATTTTACCGGCCTGCTCAGACACGAAGATACCCTCAGAGGAAAAGAAAGTTACTGTATGAGCTTAGTCCACGCTTTAAGCGCTCTATCTCTGAAATAGAGCTATATAAATGATGTTATGTATGCATTGCTGAGAACGGTTTTTGACTGGGCGCCTACTCGAGGGGCGTGGGAAGCGTTTATTAAATTTAGGCGTTTAATATTTGTTGCGTGTAAAATGGATAAGTAAATGTCTAACCTTCAAAATGTGTCATTGATGATTGTAAGGACTCATTTTATCCAAACCAGGTTAGAAAAACAAGTAATTTTACTGGAGTAGAACATTAATAAAATGTGTTGAGAATGATGTTGCTTCCATTATTTTTGTTTACAGTCATTTAGTGGAACATTTATACGAGAAAAAATAACGCCTCTGGGAGTTTAGTCGAGGGGCGTTTATTGAAAGCGGGGCGTTCATTCGAATAAATACAAAAGTTATTCATAATTAACATACATTCATTTAAATGAGGCAATTATCCAATCAAGCAAAGTAGGTATCATGACGAGAAAGTATATTGATAATAAACAATTCTGATTCAAAGATACAGCTTAAAATATTATCGTAATTGAGGTTTTAAGTACAGTATACCACCTAATTAGATGATTAATTAAGTTGTGTTTATTAACTTAAACTTAACAACTAATGCAAAGCTCACCTAACTCGTTTCTCTGAGAACCAAGGATCCCAGAGGTTCTCCCTACGACCTTATTTAACTTATCTAAATGATTATTGTCGAGTTGAAAAATTCATTAGACGGGGGTAAACATTAAACTTCATCTAAGTCTATAAAAAGTATATTCATCTATTGCGTTTGGTGAGTGAAAGTGAAGGGAAATGTCAAATCGGTCTTAAAGGTCATGTTAACACATTAGAATAAACGGTATATGCCCCATCAAGTGACAAGGCTAGTAACTAATAACAAGGGAACAGTTAAATTTCACTGTTCCCTGCTTATAACAAAACTCTTATAATATTAGAGTTTTTTTATATTATGTTATTGGAAGAATTATGTAGGCATAATTCCTGAGTTTATCATGTTATA